GTGGCTAGAGACCAGGGGACTTGTTGAGTCACTGTCTCCTGGACTAGGAGTCTATCATTCCAAATCTGCCAGTTCCTAACAGCAGAGTGCTCAAAGCTTTACAAAGAGAGGGAAAATCCACACTGAATCATCACTGTTTAATTTTATTCCCAAATCCCTACAAACCAGGCTTCCTCTGTTATTTTATGTCAATAGATAAAAGCAAACTTAAGGGTCATAATCACATTAAAAAAATTAAGATAGTCAAAAGAGAAAGTTGTAACATAACTTTTAAAAGAAAAAACAAAATAAAGCAAAATCCAGAAACTTTAAAAGAAGGGAGTGAGGTTTCGAGCAAAAACAAGAGTTAAGAAAGATATACAACTAGTGAAAGCTAACGCTGACTTGGGAAGCCATAAAAGAGTCTGATTATGTGTGATCAGAGCATATGACCACCCAGGAAAGAAAATACATTCAAAATATATTCATCTTTTCATTTAGGAAATGTATGGTATTATTTATAGCTATATTATAGCTGTTGATAAAAACCAACTTTCTTTAGAGATTTGTATCTACCTCAATGAACTCCTTCATTGTCTTTAAATTAGCTGGTCATTTCCTCTAAACCTGCTTTGAAAATGTTTGACTCCACCGTGAAACTAAACATTTCAAAGGACTTTCATTACCAATGCAGAAATAAGTCTCCTAGAATTCTACAGTGTAAAAACCACGGAACACTATGGTTAAAACCAGCAATATTTTTCATTGTTCCTTTACATATTAGTTTTTAAATCACTGCTGTAATTTTTTTAAGTTGTCAACATAAAACTAGTAAGAAAATAAAGGGTTAAATAACACTGTATACTACTACTATTACATGAATTTAGTAGACTTAAAACTTGTACTAAAAGTAAGAGAGTTGAAACAAATCCTTCAAATAAGCTATTTTTTGGATTTTTCTAGTATTCTGAAAGGAAAAAATATCTGATCTAAATATTGGCCTTCAGGAATATTTCAGCATTTTGAAATTAAAAATATCAATAAGAAATATTCATGAAAAAGTGAAAAATAACTTTTAAAAATATTTATATAAAATCAAATATACTGCTAAAATGAAACTATAAAGTGTATTATAACATCAGTCTTCTACATAAATAAGCTAAAATAGTAAAATGTTATTCTCCATCTTAAAACAATAAAATGTTCTACTGTGTGGCCTCAAAACCTCTTGCAAACCATTTTTTCAATATGCTGAAATATGCCACCCTCTACTGTTAAGAAACAGTAATATTCATAAAGCAGAAAAGCAATTATTTGCTCAACTATTGCCACCTTGTGGCTATCAGATTAGTCTTCTGCAATTCCACAGCTCCTGATTGGCTCAACAGGTTCTACAAATCTTTACTGTCTAAGTGACGTAAGAGGGTTAAAGCTTTTTAAATATTCTTAAAAAACAAAAAAGGAAAAAGGTATCTGACAAAAAAATGTATTTAGAAAATATTTAACAGGCCCTCTATACATAAGTATGTGTTATATTGGTTACAAAAATGAAAAGGAGTTGGTCCCCATCCTAAAAAGAGACAGATGCATAAAAAATCCAAAAGGTAATAAACCAAGGAAAAGAAAAATGGCCCTTCAGATCATTTAAATGAGAGATCCCTTTAACTGGTAACCTCACAGAAATTTTAAGGTAGAGAATTCACAACAAACCACCCTTGATTAAATTTACCTGCAAGGGAAAGTTCCTTTTAAGGATAACTTCCTTGACTCTTATTGAATATCACTTATTTCTGAGATGCACATATAGATACATAAGTCTACACTTGAAGGATAAGAATTAAGTCAATGGGTACAATGTTAACTTTCATCCCTACATATACACATTTTCAAATCCCAATATAAAGATCCAATATATATAACATAAATGTGGTATCTTGTTGGTATAAATGTATTTTATGAGTTTAAATTGATAGCAATTTACCTATTATTAAGACAAAAAATGTGAACATGCAGTTATCTTGATAAAAGTCACAAAATGATACCAGAAGTGAGGAATAAACAACTCCAGTTTCCAACTTCTGCATTTTGTTTGGACTGCTCAGTACCAAGAAAACCCACTTATAATACCCTGCATGCACAAGTGGGCAAGGAAATAGGCACTGTCTTGCACTGTAGGTGGGAGTGTGGTGCAAACAGTCTGTATCAATCAAAACTCAAATTATATGTACATTCTGACCCAGCATATATACCACAAATATCCAAAAATATGTAAATACTCACTGTAGCATTGTCTGTATTAATGAAAACAAAAAACAAAAAACAAAAAAACCCAGAAACAACCTAGAAGCTCATGAGTGAAGGCCTGGTTAAATACATTATGCTATATCTGCACCATGGAATACCAAACAAACATTTTTTCAATGAGGTATACAGTCAGCCCTCTGTATTTGCAGATGTGGGAACTGCAGAGGGTCAACTGTACCATTTATAAAAGGGACTTGAGCATCGAGGGATTTTGGTATCACAGAGCATCCTAGAATCAATCCCCTGTGAACCTAGGAACAATGGAAAATATACTACACGTATGAAGTGATAAAGAAAAATATTCAAAGTTACAGTTAAGTGAGAATAGCAATTTTTAGCAGCAGTAATGAAAATATATGGTGCTTATTATCAGGTACTTGTGCTAAGTGCTTAAATAATGAATTCACCTAATCTCATAATAATCCCACGACAAGGTTTCCTTTATAAAAAAAGTAAAAGACACACAGATATTAAGTAATTTCTCAAGGAAACACAGCCAGTAAATGATAGAAGAATCAGGATTCAAACGAAGACTGTCTGAATCCAGAGCTTACATTCTTAAACATTAATAATGTTTTAAAATATATATAATATAATAAGTTTATATTCATATACAAAATCTCTAGTAGTTACACATTTAAAATACACACCTTCCAGCTTTGAGAAAGTGAGGAAAAGGGAAAGGGGGCTTTTACATTTTGCACAATAACCTTCACTGCTATTTACATTCTTTTTTTAAAGTAAGCACATATTATTTCTATATTTTGCAAACAATTTTTTTCAAAAATTCTGATCACACAATAAAGATGAACTTTACTCATCTTATAATCTCAAGATGCTCTTCAATTAAATAGATTCAGAAACTTCAAAGAGTGAAGTAAAAGGTTTTTTTCCACAAAGTTGATTCTTTACATCATTACCTAACAACTGCTCATATTCCTCATGTCAGAAATGAGTATGTCAGAAAAGTACTGAAAACTTCCAATACACACTAAAATAAAACTAATTTGGTATTTTCAGTTTTCCTATTACTCTTATGATTGTTTTAGCTCAATCATTATTCTGGACTCGGGCCTTTAACTCACATGTTCAAGCCTGTACTATTCTCACTTGTACATCAGTTTGTAAGCAGTCACACAGAGATCTCAATTCAAAGACAGCCCAGGCATAACTGAAGTTCAGATGTGCACTATGTGTACTATTCATTCATTCACCCATTTGGCAGATACTTACGAAATCCCAGTAAGAGTCAAGCACTGTACTAGATGCCAGGCAGTTTTCCAGAACCCAAGACACTACCCATCTGTGAGCTGTTTGGTACTTGTTCCCAAGGAGATAAGTACAGAAATTGAGAGAGTTTATTTTTATATAATTTAATATTGCCAGACATCCAATTTGTCTCCTGACTCTAAATATTCAAAAAATATGACTTGTTGAAGTCAGTCAGTAAGAGAAAGAAAAATACCATATAACTTATATGTGGAATCTAAAAAAAAGACACAAATGAATTTATTTACAAAACTGAAACAGACTCACAGACATAAAGAACAAACCAGGGGGAAATGAGGTGGGAAGGGATAAACTGGGAGTTCGAGATTTAGCGATACTGCTATATATAAAATAGATAAACAAGTTTCTTCTGTACAACACAAGGAACTATATTCAATATCTTGTAATAACCTATAATGAAAAACAATATGAAAACGAATACATGTATGCATGACTGAAACATGCTGCACACCAGAAATTAACACATTGTAAACTGACTCTACATCAATAAAAAAATAAATTTTTTAAATAAACAAAAGTTTATATTGGATAGCACAAGGAACTATATTCAGTATCTTACAGTAATGTATAACGAAAAAGAATATGAAAAGTAATATATGTATGTATATGTGTAATTAAAACATTCTGTACACCAGAAATTGACACAACATTGTATACTGACTATACTTTAATTTAAAAATGACTTGTATTTATGTCTTCTTCTCCCATTTCATTTATCGAATAATTGTATTTTACAAAATTATTGCCTGAGACAGATGGATTTTTTAAAAAGTTAATTTACAGAAGAGGAAAGTGAAGCACCGACAGGTTAAACTACTTGCTCAAGTTCATTGAGACAATAATTCTCTCATTCACCTAACCACCGAATTAAGAAATGTTTATGAAGAGCCTGGTACACCAGACAATAAGCTCCATGCTGCGGCTACTGTGCAGAACAAGACCAGCAAAGAGCCCTGCCTCTCCCGGTGAGAGTCCAGTTCTACTCCGAGTTCCCAGAGTCGCTCTAGACGCCTCACTGGCAGCACTCGCTTCAGGAAGACGCGCGCCAAAGAGCGTGGACAGCGCAGGTCCAGCATGTAAATACCATAAAAAGTACAACAAACAGGAAACCACCACCACCACCTGCTATTCCCAGTAGCCAGCAGCTGGGCCAGCTCACGTCCCGGCTCCCCGCTCCACTCCCAACACCGGGCTCCACGCCGGTCTCTCGGTCCCACTCACCGAGAGGCGGGCTCCGCCCCGACTCCTGCCCCACCCTCTACGCCAGGCTCCGCCCTAATCCCTGCTCCACTCCCCACTACGTCGGGCTCCGTCCCGGCTCCCGGCTCCACCCCAACAGCGGGCTCCGCCCTGACTCCCGCCTCCAGCCCCCACTCTAGGCTCCGCCCCACCCGCCGCCGCGTCGCTGGCGTAGCCCCGCGACTCACTCTCAGCCGCCCGAGCTCCGCCTTCCGCTGCAGCTCCGAGTGCCGCTCCAAAGCGCTCGCGAAGCCGCCTGGACGCGTTCTAGGCTCCGTGGAGTCAGAACTCTCGCCTCCGGAGCCACTTTCAGTGCCTGCGCCTCGACAGGGCCGAGAGAACAGAAATACTCGCAGAAAATGACTCTCGGCAGACACGGCACGGGTTCGACACAGCGCCGCCATGACGGCTCCACAACCTCTGACCTTTGGCTTCTCCGCAAGCGCGCAGGTCACGGGGCGGAGCAACAAGAGGCCCTCCCCCTTGCAGAGCACTATGGGCCGGTGGGCGTGGCCTGGTCGGGGCACGGGAGGAGTGTGGGGTGAGAGAGGGTTTAAGCTAAACTTACTGGGCTAATTCTTGGTGGCTGAAGGTCCTCTGTTGGCAGCGACCCGCTGAGTTTTGCATGATAAGAGTTTTGAGTTGCAGCCGTTTGCCGTCCCAGACACCCCTTGGGCCTTGTTCTGATGTAAATTCTTAACAATGCGACGCTTGCTGCCCTCGCCGCCCGCTTGTCTGCACAGGTGGGCCCCAAGGCTCATTCCCCCGCCGCTGTTCAGGTCTCTGCTCAAATGCGAGGTTCTCCTCGATTATCTCATTTAGAACTGGAACCCCAGGCAGTGTTGTGCCCCCACAGTTTTCTTTATATTGTTTAGCACTTAGTATGCCAGTAAGTTTACTTACGGAGGCAGGAATTTTGCAGTTGGATCCCTGACAGCGGGCATAAATTGGGCTTAAATATTTGTGAATGCCTGGATCCAAGTTTGTCTTTCTTCGCCTATATTGCGGTCAGTTCACTCACGCTGCAAAAATACTAATCTGAGACCTTTCTGGTCACCTGTAGCTAGCTACAGTTATCTCTAGGGAATTAAGAAATTTAGTAATGTCTAACTGTGTACCACCAGGGGCCCCACCCTCACTCTTATTTTCTCCCTTTCCCCTCCACGATGTTAATTGCCTGAATTTACCCACCCTCTTCAAAACGGAACCCAAACACGGTACTTGGAGCATTTATGAATTAAGCTGTCCATCCATCTTCTACCCAGCAGTTTTATATTCATCCGTAATTATTGTTTGGAGGGAAGCAGCAAGCACTTTCCCCTTTCATTTGGAAGTACTTTGACAGAATGCATTTCTATGTATGACAACCCCTGTTTTAATAATGCCTTTGATTATGGATTTTGAATCTTCCTGATGTTCTCATCAACTGCACACAGTAGACAGAACACTTCTAGTGCAGCAACCTTGGAGTGGTGTGTAACTGTATGAGTCACACACGGCTTATTTCTAGCCACCGATAGGGTAATCCTTAAAATTCCGTAGTAGGCTTAAGATAAATTCTATGCCAGGTGGATTCTTTCTTTTGTTTGGTTCATAAACTTTATTTTTCTTGACTGTTTATGAAGTCTTGCCTAAAGTATTTTTGCATTACTGTTGCTCATTCTGTTTCCCTTCAGGAAAATGTGGTAAATTGTGAACAGCATTGGTCATTGCTCTCAGTTCTAGTCCGGACTCCAGTCCTGATCACAGGCAAGCCAATATGTTTCTGATTTGGTTCCCTCACGTAAAACCAAGTTATTAGCCTCTGTCTTGAATTTAAGGAAGTGCTTTTATAAACCGAACTAAATTAGTATCTGCAAAATAAATGGGATTACTAATATCCCAGCTCTAAAATTCAATAGATGTGTTATCTTCATGTCCTACCTCAGCCAGATGAAATTCCCTGGGGATTGTGACAACAGGCATTTTGGGACAAATCCTGATGTTTTTAATGGATAAGAGTAAGTTTGTATCAACTGACTTCAGGTATGCCTAGTTCTCTGCCTTTGGCAGAGCAGCAGAAACAGCAAATGAGAAGCAGTGTAAAGGACTGAGCAGGTCTGCACATTGTCCTTGCCAGCACCAGTGCCAAACGTAACATCAACTCTCAAGGCAATGCTTTAACGTCTCCTTGGCATCTTCTGACCCTGCTCTACTCCCTGAACCACACCTTCCTTCTTGATTTATTAAAAATACAAGCTTCTTTTTTCCCATCTAGCCTGCAAATTGTTCATATGCTTTGCAAAAATACTATTAATGGCAGATAATAAGTGACTAAAAAAACAGTTCGAAGTCCTGGCTCCACGTCTGCTGGCCGTGGTCTCATCTATGAAACAGTGACAGCCTCACATCCTTGAGTAAAGAATTAAAGGAAATGGGTGTGAAATGCTCAACACACTTACTGAACACTCAATAAATAGGGGCTATCAGTGGCGAGGTGGAGGTGACCAGAAGGTGATTTAGAAATCCATGCCTCTCAAAATGCATGAACACCTGGGAAAAAGACAGCGCTCGTGATACACTGGGAGGTATCAGCATCACTCTAAACATAGCCACGTCAACCACAGAGATGAATTAAGATCATTAAAGGATATCGTGTAGAAGATGACCAGATACAGGCAATAACACTTAAAGACTTGGAAGAATACCAGAAAACAGTCAAACTGGATTATAAGAACAGAATTCATTCTAAAAGCCAAGGGGAAAACTGAAATCACGTTGAGATGGAGTGTTAAAGTCATCAAGTAGCACTTATTTCAGTATGAAACCCTGGCAGGTGATGGACATGTGCAGGCCCTGCCCTCTGGGGGCTCACAAACTAAAAGTGAGTTCTTTGGGGCTCATTTTGATTTGGGTTCTTCTTGATTTCAGAATCAGAACATGGATATTGAAATCTAAGGTTTTCAGGTTTACTTAAAAGGGATAATGCCTTACTGTTAACTCTAACCCAGCCTGGCCTCCATAATTAACCCAGTTGCAATGGGACAGTCACTAATTTAATGGCCAAATGTCTCTGCATCATGGACAAAGATCTGAGTTTTCCTCTGGGTCTCAAGAGCTATGAAGAAACACGTGATCCTGACGTAGGGCCTCACGCAGCATCTCCTCTGGCACATAGACAGCAAAGTCACTTCTGAATAGCTTTCCTGTAGCTTTTTGTTTGATACACTGATTCCATAGCTGCTCATGGTTCTTTCTCTACCCAGGATAGCAAGGGTCAGGAGAGAATTTGTATCATCAATGTTATCCTTAACAGGCAGGTAATATGTACAAAAGAACCCATACCCAAAGTAGAATTTTTATTGTTTTCAAGCACTATACAAAAATAATAGACAGTGTGTATTTCTTGATTAACAGATCCAGAAATAGTCCAAATTAAGCATGTTTTTTTCCTCTATTTCAGTAGTTTATTTGCGTTACTATTAGGATAATTCAGTGAGTACTACTCTCTTCCATTGATTACTTTGGCCTCAACAGGCATAAGAATTCTTGCTTTATTTCCCAGAGACTCCATACATTAAGGACGTTCCTTTGTAATAAGGGGATAATTCCAGGAATTACTTTTCTTCTGTCACACTGCTTGAATTGCTCACTATCTGCGATTTTACTCTCGAGTTGCTACGTTCTTAAGAGTGTCAAACAGAAAACATAGTGGAGTGACCAGGGCCCCTCGCTGGTGTTCTTAGTAATTACTATGTTCTGAATTGCTTAAATGCCCTTGAATTCATAATATTGAATCTTCCACAAAGACTATTTGAGTAATACTTCTAAGTTGATGTTTATTTTTCTAAATTTATCCCCCCTCTACTTTTTGCTACTTTTAAGAGGCAGAGTACTTTGCAATACATTAAATCATCTCTAGATTAAGTAGAGGTGGATGTCTAGAAAAGTGATTCTCCAGTTTCTTCTTTCACAACCATCACCAGCACCCACATACATCCATGCCACCTTCCAGCCCTATTTCTATCATTTCCCCCCAATAAAGAGATTTGAGGATATTTTACTCAACTAAAGAAATTGCCATCCTCTCCATTTTGCCTTGTTAAAAAGACAGTAATAGGGCAGGACACCCAAGAAACCGTGTGATGAAGAGATGTTATGATGAAAACAATTGAAAGACTAGTTGGTTGGAAAAAAATAATTTAACACCTATGTTGAATAACCACAATATTTCTATAAAAAGACAGATTTCTACAGATTCACCCCTCTGGGACAATGCTTCAACAACCTTTGCCTTAAAGCCCCTTCAGGTAAATAATGTACGTTAGTCTGATAACATGAAGCAGTGATTTAAAGCAGATGGTTAAAAAAAAACTGCCTTTTTTAAAGAAGTATGGATACCAGTTGATTATTCAATAAGCTGTTTCCAGACCACTGGTCTCGTAATAAATCTCGAGACCTAGACTACTGATACACAGAATTTATTAAGCTTTTCACATGTAATAGAGCATAGTTTTAATTGCATCTGAAGTGCTAACAAGAAGCTGTAACAAGAATGGTAGCGTGTTATAACAATCAACACTTGTGGCTTTTCAGATTTGGTTTTCATAATATATAGTATTATCCCAAAGTAAATCTAGTCATGCTTTTTAAAAAATGCTTTAGGTCACTCCAAGCTTGGCAATTAACATTTGGCATAAACAATAACAGAACAGTCACTACTTGATAAATAACAAATACAACAGTGTAGGCCATAACCATATACAGCACAAGGAAAAGACAGTGGTCGTGAGTAGCTGTTACAGTTAACAGAGTACCTTGGCCTCCATGCAGATACTCCCGGAGGCTTTGGTTCATTCAGCCCTGACACTCAAGTTTTCAAAGCTGGGGGCAATGTCTGTAGTATCACTTTATAATTTCTAACACACTGGAAACAAATAAGTAGAAAATGATGAGTTGATTCTTATTAATGCATTAAATCCTCAGGAGTTATCACCAACCCCTTAGTAGAAAAATGTTTCAAGTTCTA